TATCAAATATGTTCTTCAGATGATCTCTAAATTCAGGTGGGATATATTCAAGGTCATATTTTGGCTCTCATGGACTTGTTTTCATTTTTTTCAGCTTCAGTTTGAATTTGCATGTGAGAAACTGATGGTCTGTTCCACAGTCTGCCCCTGGCCTTGTTTTCACTGATGATATGGAGCTTTTCCATTGTCTATTTCCACAGATGTAGTCAATTTGATTTCTGTGTATTCCATCTGGTGAGGTCCATGTGTATAGTTGTCTCTTATGCTGCCTAAAAAGGTATTTGAAATGAGCAAATCATTGATTTTGCAGTATTCTATCATGTGATCTCCAGCATCATTTTTATCACCAAGGCCGTATTTTCCAACTACTGATCCTTCTTTTTTGCTCCCAACCTTTGCATTCCAATCACCAGGAATGATCAATACATTGTGATTGCATGTTTGATCAATTTCAGATTGAAGAAGTTGGTAGAATTTTTCTATTTCATCTTCACTGGCTTTAGTAGTTGGTGCATAAATTTGAATAATAGTGGTATTAACTGGGCTTCCCTGTAGGTACATGGATATTATCCTGTCACATAGCACGTTGTACCTCATGGCTGATCTGGATATGTTCTTTTTGACAATGAATGCAACACCATTCCTCTTCAATTTGTCATTCATAGCATAGAAAACCATGTGGTTGTCAGATTCAAAATGGCCAATACCAGTCCATTTCAGCTCACTAATGCCTAAGATACTGACGTTTATGCGTTCCATTTCATTTTTGACATCTTCCAGTTTTCCCAGATTCATACTTCATACATTCCATGTTCTGATTTTCAGTGGATGTTTACAGCTGTTTTTCTTCATTTTGAGTTGTCGCCCATCAGCAAATGAAGGTCCTGCGGGCTTTTCTCCCATGGGCTTTACTCCATTCACGGCATCACAGTCAACTCTACTTTGAGGAGGCAGCTCTTACCCTGTCGCATTTTGAGTGGCTTCCAACCTGAAGGGCTCATTTTCTAGCACTGTATCTGGCAGTGTTTCTCTGCTATTCATAAGGTTTTCAGTGACTAAATATTCGGAAGTAGTTCGTCTCTCCTTCTTCCTAGTCTGTGTTTGTCTGGAAGCTCATTTGAAACCTGTCCACCATGGGTGACTCTGCTGGTATTTAAAATACCGGTGGCATAGCTTTCAGAATGACAGCAACTCACAAACCACCACAGTACAACAAACTGACAGGCGAGTGTGATAGCTAAACATAAATAGGAATCATGGGAAATCCTGGGTGTCACCTTTCTTTGGAATGGGCACAAATAACGGATCTTTTCCAGTCTGTTGGCCAGGTAGCTATCTTCCAGATTTCTTGGCATAGATGCGTTAAGTGCCTCCAGTTCGTCAAATGATTTCAATTTGTATTCCATCAATTGCTGGGGCCTTGTTTTCTGCCAGTGCCTTCAGTGCAGCTTGGACTTTTTCTTTCAGTACCATTGGTTCTTGATCACGTATTTCCTCTTGAAATGATTGAGCACTGACCACATCTTTTTGGTACAGTGACTCTGTGTACTCCTTCTAAGTTCTTTTGATGCTCTTGCATCATTTCAGTATTTTGCTCATTGTTGTTAAATACCACTGAGTCAGTTCTGACTCTTAGTGACCCTGTATAGGGTTTCTAAGCAGAGGCTGGTGGATTTGAAGTGCCGACCTTACAGCTAGCAGTCCAGTGGTTATGTTACAGGACTCCATATTTTATTCCTAGAATCCTTCAGTATTTCAAGTCAAGACTTGAATTTTTCTTTAGTTCTTTCAGCTTGAGAAATGTTCTTCCCTTTTGGTTTTCTAAGTTAAGGTTTTTGCACCTTTAAATTTGTAATACTTGACTTTGTCTTCTCGAGCTGCTCTTAGCATTTTCTGTTCAGTTCTTTTACTTTCTAATTTCTTCCAGTTGCTAAAGCTTCTGTACATGAAAGAACAAGTTTGAATCTCTTCTGACATACATTTTTGTCTTTCTTTCTTGTCTTTTTAATGACATTTTGCTTTTTTCTTGTATGATGTTCTTGATGGCTTCCACAACTCTTCAGTCACTAGTGTCTGAGGCATCATATCTCTTCTTAATATGGTTTCTCATCAAAGGTGGGATGTATTCAAGATTATATTTTGGCTTTCATGGACTTGGTTTAATTTTCTTCAGCTACATGCTAAACAGTCAGCCCATGTCCTT